AGGACCACGACTACGATGACGACTACGTGCACGTTTAGCTGAGTTGAAATTATCCACAGGATCAACTAGGGAGGCGTTGTTATTGATTAGCGGTGATTTTATACAACTATTCATATCAGGTATATCATAGCTAACAATTCTACGATGATGATGTTGATGATGTTGATATTGTTCACGATCAAGACGAATAATTTTAGGTAATATATCAACTTCTGCATGTGGTGATCGACTTCTAAAATCAAGCATCTCCAAACCGTGAGGTGTTCTTGGTCTAATTATTCTCTCTTTAGTTGATATATTAAATTGATTCACAGCAGCAGCAGTACGACGTGTTTCAGCATTGCCAACTCTATGCGATTCATCAACAGATGAATTTGGATAACGTGTAGCAAGGAGACGTGAATCACGTTCTGGACGTTGTCGTATTGGCATTTCGTCAACACCTGAAAAATAAAATATATTAGAGGCAATGGAAATTGTGTATTTTGGCAAACAGGTGAATTATGAATGGATTGTGACAGTTAAGACTGTAAATGGTAACCAAATAACAAGGAGTTTAGATAGAAATAATTGTAGGGTGGTAAATTAATAGGCACTCGCGTATGAGAGTGGGTAATGCTGAAGTTGAATGTGTAGGTTTAGGTAGAAAGAGCCATTTATATCAGGATGCAAACATTCTGGTTACGGGGTTGAGAGTGATAAGATAAATAGTAGCTTGAAGCCAACTGCTCCAGAAGCACCTCTGAGGCTACTGCCGGTCCCAAGCCCAGATAAAGGAGAAGGGTTGGGGTTGACGACCCCATCCCGTAGAAAACTTACTCGCTAAAACAACGCGGCCTACGCTCCATTGGGGATAACAGGCGTGAAGTAAGTAAGCTTATCGCCAATAGAATTAGTGGTTGCTGCTACAAATGGGGGGGGGCAATACACATTTCTGGTATTCTCACTATTGTATCGCTTCAAAAAAAAACACCCGACAAACATTCGACATATTACATAAACCAAATTAATTGTACTAATCATTTAGTAATCTTTCATGTAGTCCTACGGTGGTGCGCGCTACTTATAAGTAGTATATGACGCTGAGTGTCAACGTAATGTCTGGCTAGCAGGAAGATGGGGGAAGATCAAGAAAGGAAGAGTTAGAACACAATGGGAATTTGTACTGAAACGCATGAATAGTGACAATGGATTGATGTTTTAGCAACAGGAACAGTCCAGTTCGATATGATGAACTGATATTTTGCGAATTACCGATTTACGATATGGTTTTCCCTATTTTACCAATTAACTCCTGTAATTCGAGATAAACACAATTTGGTTGCCCTCACCTATGTTCTCCTTCACTGCACTACGATTAAAACAAATGAACAATGTTAATTGAGAAAGCTCGATGTCAATGACGTCATGGAGTGGTGATATGTTTTGATTTGGTCACCACTAGCTTTTCTTCCAACCTATTCATACACTAGACAGCATCACTTCTCGAGGTAGTCAGTCGATGGTCGGGCATAACGTAGCGCATGTCCCAAACCTTGGAATTGACGAACACTCACTAATTGATCGATGAATTTGCTATCCGTACCTAGTACCCTAATCATAACCTCAAGGATCGCTTACCCGATAGTTTCAGAATGCTTAAAAGACACGTATGATCAAAAACCTACAAATATCCTCTAGAGATTACTGCATACATGAGGTTTTTAAACTCATTGTTATCAACACAAACCAATTAGGTGTTTATAAACTGATTATCAATAACAATAAACTAACCAGTAGGATAAGATCGTTTCATAGATTGTACAGGTTTCTGCATAAATTGATCAGTAGTACCACGTGTTGTTCTATGAGTAGTAGAACGTTCATTAAAATCTGATTGTTTAGTATATCGGGCGTATTCTAATGGTTCACGAGGATCAACACTATTAAGCAGCATAGTACGTCCTACATGTCGACGTGTTGTTGTTGTTGTTGTATTCTCATCAATCTCTTTCAAACTTGTACGTTGCATCTCTTGACGAGTTCGTTTACGACCACCACTGGGACGAATAACCTCTTGATCATGTTTATTAGATGGTATTTGACGATTTGGAGAATTAGATCGAATTGTAGCATGTCGACCTGAATCAGAATGAGAACGATCACCAGATGGTGATCTGGAGGAATTCGATGAACTGGAACTGCCAGATCCTTCTGAGGCTGAAAATGATTGTCGTCTATAAGTTGGTCTTCCACGTACAGGTATACTATCTAGATCGGTTCGTTTACGTCGACGTGGTCGTCGATTCTTATTTGCCGCTTCCGCTGCAGCTCTTCGTCGTTCACGTATCTCTAATGCAGCTGCTGCAGCTTCTGCTTGTAAACGAACTTGAGTTTGTGTCATTGGCATATTAATACTATTTGTACTAACAGGAGGAGGATGTTGATTAGTATCAATTGGCGAAGTATGACGATGTAATATAGGGACACCAGGAGGTCGAATTTGTCGTGATTGTGGTGGTGAGGACGGTTGAGCTGGTAGACGGTTAGTAGTTGTACGAGAAGGTGCAGCATTTGCAAGGGAACTGATACCTACAGGTGCTGCCTAAAATACAAACATACATACATAAAAATGTAGGACAATTTTTTAAGAGTTCAATTTCATTAACTTCAAATAACTGACCCTGACCCTAACCCTAACAATAAATACCATGTAGAGAACTAATCGAACATAAATAGATTAAGAACAAGTCTACCCAGTTCGATGACGTAATTACCTGACAAAAACAGAAGTGAGAGAATATCGACCTGTCAAATTTATCAGACAACATACAGTTCTATTTTTTTTTAATTGATAAATTAGTGAAATTTATAGACTGAAAACTACGAGTTGAATCTGACTTTTAAAGTAGCTAGATACGTCGATAGTCAGTCAGTCAGTCAACAACAACGTAGAACTTCATACGTACACACATCAGTTACAGATGCAAATCCCATAATGGTGTATAGGTAATAGAAGTATAAGCAGTAATCGGAACGATCACTGTCCGAAGATATGATTCAAGAAGTATAATTTAGTGAAATAAATTTAGGAAGAGAAAGAGAGAAGTGACGAGGAATTCAGTTTAGAATTTGAAAGAAGCCAAACAGTGCATGTATCTGAGCCATGTCATTCAAGGTCTCTAACGATCGGTTCTGATTATCTTGCGGACACCAACCAAGTACTCTACACATCATAATTAATGGATTCAATTGAGAATATCAAGTTTTAGATACGAGTAAGTACAATCAGTAAACGAATCCTGGATTTCAATGAAATCAAAAAATCGATCCATATTAAACTAACATTAGAATCCTGGAAACACTACTAGACGGCCATTTCGTCTTGGTATGGGACTTATCAGTGACACTAGAGAATCAAACCAAGAACTTTTGGTATGGCGCGTGGACGCTTAAATTCCAGACCACTGACCTAGAATCCAACGAAGTTAATGTTCAACTCCAATCTATCCATGATACTGCTCGACCTCATCCATTGTTTTGAGTCGGTACCTGCTTCACACACCGGACACAGTTGGATACTACTCTGGTCACGGCTACTCACTGACACCCCAAGAATTTCCTCATGAAGCTAAATAGACAGTAATGAGCACAACTAAAATTACACTACTAGCCGCCAATAATCTAATTGTTTTATTGATAAAATATTTTCATTGAAATCAACACAGATCTTAAACTCTCACTCAATAAAAATGTTTACCTTCATACGTGGTGCTAATGTCAACCGAACACCTGGTCGATTTGGTGGAAGTTCACCAGCACCACCCGCGCCTCCACCAGTGGTAGCACTAGTCGTAGTAGTAGCAGTTGACTGATTAGAACTTATAGTATTGTTCGATGATATAGTATCTGTATTACTAGAACGATGTATTGCTGATAATAACTCAGGTTCAACAATATGTTTTTGTTCAACACTGATCGAATGATTAGGTCCAAGATTAACTTGATTGTTTGCATGTTCAGCATAATTGACAGCTTTTGCAGGCCAATTATTCGTTAGTGTAGACGATGGTCCAGTGGCATCATCTGCAAATGGACTACGACTTTTCTTTCTGCGCAATGGTGATGCTATATATTTTTATTTCAAAGAAATTAAAGGCGGAAGTTATTTTTGTTTAAATCGAAAAAACGTAGATAACTATAATTATAAAACAATGGTCTATGTTGATATACATAAATAATCGATTGTTAATGGGACATAGACGGAATTAAAGCATGATTACGTTGCTGCGCGCTGATTGGCTAATTTCCTATCCAATCAGCGCCTGATCGATTCTTGGAGAACAGGGTAGAAAGTTCTCGTGTTGTTAGCTGCACTCCGATTGGCTAAATCTAATCCAGACGATCACGTAAATTACTAACAAGAAGCTTCTCATGTAAATACTATAAAGAAACTAACGTGGTATCTATTTTGTCTTCTCCTTCGACTTCGTATTTCCATTTAACCTTGCTTTTTGGAATATAATCTTTTTCATGTTCCACCGTGTTTTTGATTTCTTTGGAACTTGTCCAGTGTATTGTGGTCATAGAATACTAAGCGATAGGAATCAGCCGGGAATTATCTAAGCAAGCGTTACAACATTGATACATGGGGACATCATTTTAGTCAGCTAATAGCGATAAGAATCATTTGTGTGATGTTACCTGATCGTGTGAAGAACAATGAAGTCCAGGCCTTGAGATTGTAGGGAAAATTTGTAGCTTAGGTGGATGATTGTGATGGTGTTTCGTTCTCGGAGCTGCATGTTTTGGGCTGTGAAGCTTTCATTGTTCTTCTGAACAACATCATCAGCACAAACGTCAGATGGAAGTTACCACAACGAAGTTCAGGCCAGATGGAATATGTATTTTGAGAAGACACAATTTGCTTTATGGGGTTGTAGAGATTGTTGAGTTACTTTTTGAAATCATGAATCAATGATAGTTAGACCACCACCATTATAAACCTCGAAACATTGGACAGTTGTTTCGTCCCGGTATGGAACTCATCAGCAATCCGCATCCATGACTCCTGCAACTAGCGTGGTTCGGACCTAAGACCTTCGATCTTGCGTGAGAACCTCTAACCTCTGGACCACAGAGTCAATATCTAACGGTGTTAATGTCTAATTTCGATCAATCCACAATCTTCAGGAAGCATTCATTACTTCACAACCGAACAGGGTTGAACTCCACTGGTCACGAATTCTCAGTAGAACTCGGAGAAACTTCCTCACGGAGCAATTCACTAGTGAGCACATGAAATATGCATTATGGGGTTGTGGAGATTGTTGAGTTACCTCTTGAATGGTGGTCTAACATTAATTGACTCGTCATTTAAAAAAGATACAGTTTACCAATAAAATATACATACACCTTATGTTGAAATGACTATTTGCAAATCAAGTAGATTATTGACTGTCTTCTAGTCTTCAGACCACATTAATCATGCCAGACGTCTTGATCTCCTGCTCATTTTCTCTTTGGCATTCACACCAACAAAGCTATATTGGCTCTAACGTATGTTCCTTTAGGTCCTATCACGCAGGGCAGATCGATTGGGGAACAGTAAGACTAAACTTAATATTTGAGGGCGAAGTCGAAATGCTGACTGTAAAGAGGTGTGACATCAGTAAAGTGTTTCCCCGGGACAACCAGCATCTGCATCAATGCTGCCTTCTCACAAGGAAGGGGGCTTAGAAAAGGTGGACCAAAACAATATGTCACACCCCAATTTAACCAGCAGTAAAGCCGCTTGAAGAGCGGAGTTAGCACTTTAACATCTCATAAAAAGGCTGTGCATGATCGGTTTCAAACAGTGTTCCCTTGGGCTCTGTGTTCATTCTCCCAGATAGCTAAGACCCTTCCACGGTGTGGGCAACCGGGAAGTGACCTCCGCCCTCATACTCGTAACAGCACAAGAGACCAAATTATTCACAATCAAATGCTTCTTATAACCTCTTAGTGATCCTCTTACCTCCATAACTGGGAGAAGGCAACATACAACTGGTTCATCACATTACAATTGATGTAATGGTGGTTGTTTTTAGATTTTTATCTACTAACTAGATCTGTGCGCTTCACTAGATGTTTGAATACAGTTGAATGCAAAAATTCAAGAAAATTGTTAATTCACACACTGAATTCATCAAGAATATTCTAAATAAACAGTTGATCACTTTCACAACGATCAAAGTCTTTTTTTAACAGAAAATTTAATTGCGGATATTCATTTTGAAGCACTGCAGCGATCAGTCATAACTAGCCACTTCATTATTCTGTTTGTTCGCAAAAAAATAAACAAATTTTTTAAAAAACAACCAACAATTATTACTACTTACCAACACCAGTTCGTCTATTCCGTACAGGACCAGGAATGACATCTGGTAAACGTTCATGACGATGAATAGTACCAGTAGTAGTAGTAGTATTGGCATCACGTGCATTTTCAGCACCGGACGATGGACTACGAGACCAAGAACTATGAGTTTTCAAGAGGAAAAAAAATTAATTGAAAAGAATATTTAAAGAAATATTCCTTTAATTAAAATTTTAATTTTTATTGTATAAATTTGTTGATAAATCAACTTAACAGCTGATGTATGATACTGTTATACTCGTCGCCTGATATGCTTGAAACTATTACGATTTCACTTTAGTCGATAAAGAAGAACGAGACAATGGGGCAGTGACACGATAAGCTACTCTGATCCGTTGACTCAAAGGGGCTAACGACAAAGTCTTGATATAGTGTAGAAAGTGTATTCTACAAACACCCAGTAAACACATTGATCTCAAGCACTCAAATCGCGTTTATTTATAGATCATAGAAACATCCTTGTGAGAGTGACAATAATAACACATCAACTAATCACAGACAGGGATTTTCCTGGTGGGAAATGTGATCTTAAAGGTCAAATGATCAGCGAATGAATAAAATCCAAAATTGAGGCCTGTATCAAATGAGCTCTGGGGATCTAACGTCACCACCAACAGATAGACATGTGACAATTTATCTATGAACATGTGTTATTTATTTCCTAGTCAACTTTTCCTGTTGTAGGGATCTTAATGCGAAATGTTGATTATTGTGATTCTGTTTTATATGGAACAGATAACAGTGGGTGACTAATACAAATACAAACTTTCACTCCAAGTAACGAACCCCCATCCAGTCGAACTAACTACCAACATGTTTATTCGTGGTTTAGAGCATTGTCTGTGGACACAGTTAACACTTACAAAGATGATGTGTCCTTTCACTGATAGTTAAGAAGTGTAGCGAAATTTTAGTGACAAAATTTAGAATTTGCTGTAATAGTAATGATGCGATACTCACTAGTTATGCCTCAACTGTTCGATGAGCTGGTGACCCAAAACTACACTGGCGTTTGACATTTTGATGACTTAACTGGAAACTAATCGCAATGATGCAGGCATTATTAGTTTCGCACCAAAAGCTTCTACTATTCACAGTAATTACTCAAGGTTTAAATACAGAAAGCCATGTACGTTCGAAAGTTTTCTAAGACAGAAATATCACTTTATCCTGCTATGGACGTGTCAAGTTTAGCGTAATCAGTCTGTAATGATGAAGAATAACACGATAGCAAAAAGTCACAATTCTAATCAATCCGACCTTGTAGTGTGACTGCAAAGCAGAAGGGACAACTGTTTGAAGCCGGTCACGCACGACTTTTTACGGGATGCTTTAGAAGTGTGAGCTCCCCTCATTAAAAAGCCTTACTGCCGGAGATGGAAATACATGTGGTAAGGTAAGATGTTAAATATTACGGTCTATCTTTTTCCAAACCCTTCCTTCCTTGTGAGAAGGCAGCATCGCTGTAAATGCTGGTTGTCCAAGGGAAACACCTTACTGCTGTCCACACCTCTCTACAATCAAGCATCATGAATTTGTCCTGGGACTTCCAGTTGCTACTTTTAGTGTTATTGTTCTCCAATTAACCTGCTTAGCATGGTAGAACCTTCAGGAACATATGTTACAACCAACATAGCTCAGTTGTGTCATCACGATAGGGAGGCCCGACGACCACGTCAAGGTACCAAGGCACTAACATATGGACTGAGCTATGTTAGTAGGTGCACACTATCTGGTTGGGATGTACGAGATAATCGTAACCGGTGGTTAGAAACTTTGAATGACATAAATCAAAATCGTTTACAATGGGAAAGATACATCCGTTCTTTGAGTTCTTTCAAATTCTAATCTTCTGAATTCTTCATGTACTTTTTTCTTTCTTTTAAAATTCATTCCATTGGGTTATAATTCTCAAATCACAACTTCGAACCCAAATTTTTCCAATTAGCGCTAATACTTCTTCTACTACCTCTATTATCTGAATGGACAATTCGATCTCTGTGTGCTAATGTGGTACGGAAACTTAAACACTGATGTACATACGTAAGTTCTACATTGTAACTGATTGATCGACAATGTTATATCACACATATTCAAGTTCTTATAAGCCATGAGTATCTTCACTTGGCGAGTTTTAGTCACTCATACATCTACAACAGCACTTCAGTTGATCGTTTTTACTAGTTACTTCCCTGTAAATGTATTTATTTAGCAATGGAAGTGATTGGTATAAAAGGGCATCTAAAAATTGATGCGCCATACAATTAAATGAATATGTGTGTGGGTTGGGATACTTTTCAGGTTGCTCAAACCAAGGTAGATGGTTTTCTTATGTGACCACTACTTCTCGAGTATTTCACAGGTCTAATTCACAAGACGGTGGAGCAGCGTTAGGAGGTGCAGTCATATGGTAACCGGTGACCGATAACACCTGTCCCAACAGGTTCCTGGAACTAATATGTACCATTGATGTGGACTCAAAGATTTTCATCTTCTTTAGGTGGATTCTATGTATCCGCCAACTGAGTTTAAGCACTAGACAATTGCTTTTTCGTCGACTCACTAAAGAGAGAAAATTGTCAATGAATTTTACTAACATTCCATTAAGTATACTGATGATAATAGAGCAATATTTCAGGAACAATGATTCACAGTCACATGTAATAATGAATACAACATTATAACAACTACACTTACGTAATATATCGTTTTTCTTCAATATCTTTACCACCAGAAGGACTTTTTGATCTTGACGATGAATGAGATCGTTCTTTATTATGTCCATCAACTGATCAAATTAAATAATATATACACGAAATTTGCATGAAAGTGTTTTGAAGATTGTTGAGTTACATTTTGAAATCATTAATCGATCAATGTTAGACAATCGTTAGGAACTTGGAAGCACTCTGGGCGGCTGTTTCGGTCCTGGTTAAGCGTTCGCGCGAAAGACCGACCGTCCTAGGTTCGAATCCTGAGAGTAGGAGCAGGAGTCGTGGACATGCACTGCTGATGAGGCAGTCTCATACCAGGACGAAACAGCCGTGTTTCAGTGTTTTCAGGTTTCTAATGATTGTCTAACATTGATTGATTCATGATTTGGTAAAAACATACATAATTCATTGATTGTGTATTTATAATTTACACTATTCTCTTTCAATAAATATTTTGATAGAAAAAGGTGACAATGATAATAAGAACGAAGAAATTGTACTACTGTGAAATCTAATCACTTGAACATACTTAGTCATTCAAATCATAAATAATATAGAACTCGGCATAATTATACACTGATTTACATGAGTACATTAGTACATGTTACACAACCACAACTACAGTGCCTGAGATTTGAACGCAATATGTGCTAACTCCACAAAAACTGGTTACTTGAGTGAGAACACCAGAAGAGGAAATCTATTCGACTACCTAATTATACACATAAATACTCATATATGTATATACGCATTTCTCCTCCTCCTTGGAAAATGAATCCATTTCTTGACCAATGATAAGCGTTTGTCACTAAGTGACCTTGTTTAGCCACTTCTGATTGGCTCTCTACGCTACAGTAGCATAGTAGGATGAAATTAGCAATCTACCGTTGCAGTAGTAGTAAAAGTTTCAATGGTAATAGAAAATGGCGTTAGGCAAGGACAATACGATTAAAAAAAAGAATGAATTTATTGGACGGAAAGTATTGTAACTAAATCTATCATGACTTTGAACGTGTTTTTTAACCATTGGTTACGGCAGACTGCAACCGGATAGATAGTTTGCAAATGACAACATATATGATGAACTGATATGACAAGGGTTTGGCCATTTTTCGCTTTTCTCGGACACTTTTATCATAAACAAAAAATAGAGTGCGTTGCAGTAGGCTATAGTTTCAGCAGTCAGTCCGTTGCAACGTAGAAACTTCGTACGTATGTACATAAGTTCAGGTTGCCATACCACATTAGCACAAAGAA